CCTCCTACTATCATTTTTAGTGCATGAACAATTCACCAAGCCAGGTTCATCGCTGGGTGTTTGGATTGTTGCCAACTCAAGGGTACCTTATTAAAAATTGTAAGAAATGTCTTACTTTGGATAGACCTTCCCTAGGTGGTGCAGGATAATTTTCAGTGGTATAACCACAAGGTCAGACTATGAGCCCTTTCATATGCTGGCAAGTATCTTCCACAGGGTCTTTCAGATGAATATGACCCCACCCCTGAGGAAAGCTGATGTTGGGGTCCTGGCAGCACTGCAATAATCTTCACCTTGACCAGCCCCTGCCCATGGCCTCACTGTTATAACTCTTTGCAGACACTGATGTTTGTTGACTCTCTTCCCCATCCTGTGAAGTGTCTATTTCTGATCTTTATCCCTTTGGTTCTTATCAATTTGTGTGAGCTTTTAGTAGATAACAACTGACTTGTTCATCTCAGGAAATTCACAGCACATGATCAGAGTTTAGTATGCCTGGAGGCTCTGAGTAATGCTGCTGAGTGTGATTTTGGATCTTCAGTCTGGGAGGCTGGGAGGTTTGAGGGTTTTGTAATACAGGGAGTTATGGGAGTTGCCTGGATCAGGCAGAAGCTGGGAATGGGAACACCCATCCTTGGTGCTCCTATCCTAGCACATGGGGGGCAAGTGAGAGGCACCTCACAGGGAGAGCTGGCAAATCTGTAGGCCTCTGGCCTGTTTCCCATGGGATGTTGGACCAGGAGCAAGGCTGGAGAATTGTCACAGTAAATTGACCACCTGCCTTCAATAAGCATGAAACCTCTATCTCATTCATAAAGAAAATATTGGGGGAACATTGATCAGCTATACTCAGTGAAAGAAGCCAGAAACAAAGGGCCACATATTGTAAGATCCCACTTCTATAAAGCAATCAGAAGAAGTATATCCATGGAGTCAGAAAGATTCGAAATTCCCAGGGGCAAGCATGTGACTACTTATGAGCACGGGGTTTATTTTGGGGGTGATAAAATGTTCTGGAATGATATAGTGCTGATGTTTGTACAACTTTGTAAATATACTAGAAACCACTGAATTTCTGCTTAAAACTTTTTTTGTTTGTTTGTTAATCCTCACTGAGGATATTTTTTCCATTGTTTTTCAGAGAGAGTGGAAAGGAGGGGTGAGGAGAGAGAGAAACATTGATGTGAGAGAGACATCAATGTTGCCTCTGGCACATGCCCCGACTGGTGGTGGAGAGTGAAACTGCAGCCCAGGTATGTGCCCTTGACCAGGAATTGAACCCAAGACCCTTCAGTCCACAGGCCGACTCTAACCATTGGGCAACCAGCTAGGGCTGAATTTCTGCTTTAAAATTTTTTTTAAGCATTGCAAAAAGCCCAACAAATACATGTAAAATATTTATAGACAAAGCAGAAAAGAGAATGTGTATGGCATGAAAAAGAACAGTTGGATAAAAAAACAAATCTTTAAAAAAAAAAGGGATACTGGCTACTATGAGTCACTGGTAGGAATGAGGAGGATGACAAAGTGACAGACAACACCTGGAAGGGAAAGTGGTCACCATCCATATTGCTCTGGGACAAACGGAGCAACCAGGCCACTCTGTGACCCTGGGAATCAGAGTTGTGAAGCCTCTTCTGATCTTTGACCCTATGGGAGATAAAATGCCCACTGCTGTTCTTGCCAGAAAGATACTGGAATCAAAGGGTAATGGGTCAGATCCAGGAAGATAATTCTGGAAAACAAAACTTGCCAAACTCGTTCAGGCCAGTGCTCCATGTTATCTCACGAGGTGGTGTTCAGGAAGCTGTGATTCTAAGACAAGAAGCAGAGCCCTTCCCGCTCTCTGGGGCATTAACCATAGAACTTTCTTTATGGGCCTATTGATACAACAGTAGTCCTGACGTGTTAGATGTTCTGCTCAGTGCCTGCTTTACTCATGTTCCCAAGGTGGTAGTGCCACATGCCTTTTGCAAACAAGCAAAACTTTGCAGAGGTTCAAGAAAGTTATTAGCACAGCAGTTCCTGGAGGGCAGCCTTGCACTGCTGTGCCCCTCCAGGGCCAGGCTTTCTGGGTCAGAAATAGGAACCATAGGTGACCCCTGCCCTGAAGGAGCCACTACTTTTATAGCTCCAATTCTGAACTAATCAGGGGCATGAATTCCAAACTGTTGCTAACCTGAAAATAAACTCAGCTGCCTAAGAAAAATAAAGCTTCCTGGTTTTCTATATGACTGACATACTTGGCACTTGAGGTGGAATCAGACTGAAGTAGGGTCCCCAAAACACTCGAGTGCCAGAAGATTCTTTTGGCTTGTTTGGGCCTGCCCAGCTTCTGTTCTCAGAATGAGGGTTCCACTTTGATGCCTCAGCTCTGTTAGGGACTTAAACCCATTTCTTATGCCCACAAAATAAACCCACCCACATATGAAGCCCCGTAAATGGTTCAGATATCATGGCTTTCCACCACATCAGATGTCAGCATGGCTACAGTCCTTCTGGAGGCTCTAGGAGAGAATGTTTCCTTGCCTTTTCAAGCTTCTAGACTGCCTGCCATCTGTGGCTGGTGGCGCTTTCCTCCATCGTCAAAGCCAGCAATGGCATTACTGACCTCTGCTTCCATTGTCACATCTCCTTCTCTGACTCTGACCTTCCTGCCTCAGTCTTATAAAAACCCTTGTTACCACTGGCCTCATGCAGGTAATCCAGGATAATCTCCCCATCTTGATACTTAACGTATCTGATCTGCAAAGTCCTTCTGCTAAGTAAGGTAACATAATCACAGGTTCCGAGAGATTAGGACATGGACATCTTTGGGCTGCTGTTATTCTGCCCACCACAGGAGGACCAGCCTACACTTTCTGAAAAGGGCTAGTCAGTGTGGAGCTGCCCTCTTAAACTGGTCCCCACAAGCTGTAACTTCCGTGGGGGCAGATACACAACTGGCATGGTCACTATTGTATCCACAGGGCCGAACACCTGTACTGGGTGTTGTGGGCAATTAAAAAGGATTGATGACCTAAAAGAAACAACAAGCACTCCTAGTGCTCACATCTTAGTTTCTAACACCATCTATATTATAAAAGGCCTGTGGCCCTAACGCCTTAACGACCAAAGACCAGTGCAGGTGGATGGGGCGTGAGCGGGTGGGTGAGGCCACACGATTTCGCACGCTGGGCTTCTAGTTGTCTAATAAAAGGAACCAGTCTCAAAGAAATGGCTGACTTTAAGACTGGGGAGGAAATATATGAGATGAGCCTGATATCTTATAGTACCATAGAAAAGGAAGTGCTCCAAAGAAAACAAAAAGAAAAAAGCCAAAATACATAGATTGGGGGGGGGGGTGCCAAAGGGCCACAGAAGCCAACTGGAAGAGATCCCAATGGCTAAAGTCAGAACAATTTGAGCAATAAAAGAAATAAAGTTAAAACCCAGAGTATAAAATATGCAGGAGGCCATAGAGATATAATTAAATGACTAGATAAACTTATAAATGGGGGAGAAAAGAGAAATCTCCCATGCAGAATTCTAAATAATTTAAGTAGTTTTCCATCCTTAAGGAGGAGGAATATAACTCTCTG